CCCCTGGGATCGGCCCGGCGGGAGGGGAGGGCGGGGGGGCGGCCGCTTTTCCCCCTGCCCCTGCTCTTGCTCTCCGCAGGGGGGCCGTGGGGCGCAGGGGCGCCTTTCGCCCCCCCCTCCACTCGTGTCACCTGCCGCAGCCGCCACGGAGGCGAGAGGAGGGTGGGTTGGCTCGCCTCGACGTTTACCTACGGCGTTTCCATTTATGATGATGATGACTGCGGTGGTGATGGTGGAGGCAGCAGCGGGCGGGAGGTGCCCGGAGCGGCAGCGCAGCCCGACTCTTCGGGGGCTTTCGGGCCGCCTGGCTGCCCGCCGGCGGAGAAGTGGTATCGGGTCTAATTGCCGTCAACGAATGTCACCGGCAGAAGGAAAAACAAAAGCTGCCTCCAAAGATCCCGGAGCAGAATTTGGCAAGCCTCCTAAAGACACCAATTAGCAAAGGCTAAACCCATTAATGAAGTGGCGGCTCTCTGGTTTCAGCCAGGTGGTGCAGATCAGAGCGCCTGTATCTGCAACAGAGCTCCGCTTCCCTCCAGCCAGGACCTCACAGCAAACCTCCACATCAATAATACGCTTAATGGATCTCATTAGGGCTGGGGCCGCGAGCCCCGGCCTGGGAGCAGGGGAGGCGAGGGGAGCAGGGGGGCAGCGCTGCCCCCGCCGCGCCGCGGAGGGACGGGCTCCCTTCCCCCGTGGGGCGATGCTCCCCCCGCGGGTACCTGGCGCTCCCCGCTACCTGCCCGAGCTCGTGGCTTTGGGCAAACGCCGTTTCTAGCCGGCTCTTTCGAACAAACGAGAACCTCGGCATCGCCTCGCCGGGCCCCCCAAACCCCCCCCGGGCCCCCCCCCCCCCCGCCTCCATCCGAGCACCCTCAGCCCGCCGAGCTACGAGCACCCTCGGCCGTGCGGGCTGCGGGAAGGTGCCGGGGCGCGACCCCGGGTCGGGGCCGTGGAAGAGGAGGGAAGGGGCTTCTGCAAAGTGATCTAAAAAGAAAAGCGTCCAGAGCTCCCCTCTGTAAAAGGGGACGGGGGGGAAGGGAGGAAATAGTTCCGCTTCGGCCAGGGGAAAACATAAAAAAGAGGGGGAAAAGGGAAGCCGGGGTAGGATAAGCTCGGCCGAGGTGAGCTAGAATATTTAGCTGATGGAGGTGGACTATGAAAGGGGACTTCATATTTCTCTCCGAGGAGTCTCTCCAGGTCCGCAGCCGAGAATACACACAGCAAACGTTGTGCTTGAATTATAGCTGAGGGTTTGCTTTATTTGAATTCACTGGTGTTTATTTAAGAAAGTGAATAAAGGTTTTGTGTAAACAGCCATTATTTCTGATGAGCGCTCAACAGCAATAAGGAGGGGGTGGTTTTTTTAGTCGAGATTGTGGCAAAAGTTGACATTTCGGAGATTGCAGTTTGTCTTGCCGACGCCAGGCAGTCCCGAGGCATGAACTGCAGGGAAAGCTGTGTGTGCCTGTGAGTGTGAAACGGCGATGCCGAGCGAACCGGGGTCTGAAAACAATTATTTTTTAAGACATCAGCTTAAGCCCGACATTAAAATAAAATAAAAATATTTTCCTAAGGAGCGGGGCCGGTCTCGCTCAGCTAACGAGGGAGGCGAACTCAGGTTTCGCTGCCGCCGGCCCCGCACCCGCGGGGCTCTGCGGGGGGGGGGTGGGCAGCGCCGACCCAGCGGGGCCGCGGCAGACACCCCCCCCCGCACCCCCACCTTCCCCCCCGCCGGGCGGGACAGCGGCGGACCCCAACGCGAGCTCCTTGCCCGGCCCTTTTCGCACCGTAAAATCGCTGGCTTAAAATTATCGCGTCTGTTTTGGTTTATTATTGTTCTTTTTTTCTTCTTCTAACGTGGCTGTTATTTCCGAGGTTGACTCGGGTCTCTTTGGAGAGGGGAGGTTTCTGGTAAGAAATCAGGCGAGAAGACAAGGATCCCGTTGGGCTTCTTAACACAGCGCCCGGGGGAGGGGGGGGTTATCGGTAAAGCTGCTCCCCGGGAAGGAGCTCGGCAGGAGCTCCTGCGCATCTTTGCGAGTGGGGGGACGCTCGCAGACGGGGCTGGGATGCCGGAGCGGCTCGGAGAGGCCTCCCGCTTCATTATTAAACCGGTTTCCCACACATGCCACGCAGGGACGGGGCAGGGAAACCTCTGCTCTCCGTGCGGCAGCGTGTATCGCTCCCGTCCCTCGGTGTCCCGCACAACCCCTCGGCTGAAATAAGCCCGACAAACTTCTGCCCGGCACCCGGGGGGGGAAAGAGGAGAGGGTGGGTGCCGAAAAGCCTGGCCGGGGCCGCGGAGACCGGGGGCAGAGCTGGAGAAGCCCCTCCCGGCCCCTCCGCGGGGACCCCGGCCCCCGCCGAGCCGCGCCGACACAGACCCGTTGCGGCGAGCGGGTGCAGCCCAAGGGATTTGGGATGGGCTGGCACGGGTCTGAAAAGAGTCACAACGGATTTAAGGGCGGGGGGGGGGAATAGATCGCCCGAAAAGCTGCGACCCCCACTTTGAAGACCGTCGAAGAACCGGATCGGCGGTGGAACCGTGGGCTCGGGCGTTTCGCCTTCAGAAATAACCAGCATCGGAGAAGCCTTTCGTGTTATCAGGCGATGATAAAGCAAACCAAAAAGAGGCCCCCCGGGCTTTTTTGGACCCGTTCGGGGCGGGGGTGTTGCATTGTGCTGCGGACAGGTCGACTTCGCCGACGAACGGCGATCGAGCTGCCCGCAGTCACGACACTGTCCCGGCTTTTTTCCACAGAAATTTAGCAGTAACTGCAGCCTCGCAGGACCGGGCAAACTCCCTTCCCTGTCGAGACGGGCACAAATCCCTCCATCCGCGCATCTTTCCCCAATCTCGTTTTCGTGGGTTTGCTCTACCTGCCCGAGGACGTGCACAACGGCAGCAACGGGGGAGAGATATTATATTTTTTTTTTTCCCTATCGTTGGGGGACACGAAATAAAAATACCCTCCCGGCTCCACTCAGAGCAGAAGCCCGGGATGCGCGGAGCGAGAGGGCCGGGAGGCAAAACCAGACGCAGGGCGAAGGAATTTTATCCCAGCTCTTTCATTCGGATCTGAGCATCTTTCTCCGTAGCCTGAGTCCCAACAGCGTTTTTTCCCCCCCCCCCCTTTTGCGGTGTTATCTTAAAAAGGTGCCATCCAGGCGCTGCCCTTGCTCTCTCCCCGACCCGGGGTCCAGGCGGGCATTGCTCTCCCGTTATTTGGGGAGGCCGGGGGGGACACACACGGGACCTGCCCCCGCGCAGCCAGCCCTGCGCTTGGAGGAGGCGCAGATTCCTCTAAGCCAAGGGAAGAGAACCTCTTTCCCGACGCGCTTTTCATTTCTCATCCGACAAGAGCCACCTCCAACCCCTCTCTCCCGCGTGGGTTAGTCTTTAGGAAGCAAAACTAAGAGGCAAACAAATCCCTGCGTGTCCGTGAGCCGCACTACGGTGGTTTATCGGAGAAGAAACAGTCATGTGTCGCTGGACATCCGTCCCGCGGCTTCCCTTGCTCTTAGGCGAAGTTTTAACCCCACGGCAAACCCCGCGCCGATGGGCGCAGCAGCGGCCCTAGGGACAGCCGCTTTTGGGGGGCTGGAAGCCAACTGCAGGGCCGGCTCCGCGCCCCGAAAAGCCGTGACACACACACACACACACACCCCCCCCGTTTCCTCCCT